ACTGTCTGTGTGTGTGTGTGTCTGTGTGTGTGTGTGTGTTTGCTAGTGCCGGGGTGGGCAGGACCGGAGTCTTCATCACCCTCAGCATCGTGCTAGAGAGGATGAGGTACGAAGGTGTGGTTGACCTCTTCCAGACAGTAAAGACGCTCCGCACCCAGCGGCCCGCCATGGTGCAGACAGAGGTAAGGGCGATGTACTGATCAGGCGATTGTTCCCGCAGTGACGGGACGGCGTTTGAAAGTCAGCGTTGTATATTTCTCTGATTTAAACTCTGTGCAGTCTGAAGTGTCCCTTTTCATTTTGGTGCCATAAAAGCAAAGACTTACTGACAAATCCTTCCTTAATCAAAAAAAAAAAGGTTGTTGGGAGGAGGGGAGCGGGGTAAGAAATCCCACAGCAAATTCAACTAATGCTATCAAAGCAGCCCTGCGTCAGATTCTCTTCAAGTGAAGAAATCGTAAATACGTTACATAACAAAGGATATTAGAGGGAAAAAGACATGATGTGAATTCAAATGAGTTCATAAACCTTTTAAGGTTTATGATATAAAAATGTCTTTTTAAGATATAAAAAGAAAAGGAAAAACATTGTAGCGCCTCTAGTGTAAATACTGAAAAGTACTACAGCTAGTTTTGAGAAAACCTCTGGCCTGCTTTTTAAAGCTTTGTTTACAAGAAACCTTAATAAATGCAGATTACAAGAAATGCTGCTTTAAACCAAGTTAATGAATATTTTGTTGGCTGGACGAGACCAGTCATTATATTTAACAGCAGGAAGATCGATGACAACTTTCTCACCGTCGTCTTCCTTCTTCTCTACAGGACCAGTACCAGCTGTGCTACAGGGCAGCACTGGAGTACCTGGGGAGCTTTGACCACTATGCAACGTAACCACTCCCACCGAGCACCTTCCCCGGTCAGACCTCTCAGGAGTGTGCCAAGTGTCCCATCTCAGCCGCCATCCAATCACTTGATCCCCCCCAGTCCCCGCCCCCACCCCGCTACAAACCCTGTCCCCTCGCAGCTACCGGAGGGGCGGAGAAAGGGATGAGCTTGCTGACCCGTTGACGGTTTTTATCCAATCACAGAGATACACGCCGAGTTAACCAACCACCTGAGATTTTTTTGCTTTAAAATAATAAAACATTACAGTGACTATTGACAACTATGACAACTCTTGTACAGACCCGACGGCGCAGACTGGCAGCTCGCCTCTCTGCTCCGCCGAAGCCAATCCTCCCTGATTGTCAAAGGCTACTGGTAGCACAAAGAGAGCATTTTCATTTTTTTGTTGTCGTTGTTTTTATTGTGTTTTTATGATTAATTTTGTCAAACGTTATTGTTTAGTATACATTTTTTGGGGGTTGTTTTTAATAATCGTTTTAATATCATGCATTTCTTCTGTCTTAAACTGCCCAGCAGCCTCGGGTATGCATTATTTTCATAATCATTTATAGGGTACTTTAGCAGAGGGGACATGTGTTTTTAACATGTTCCTAGGTACTAATACAGGAGGACCACTGTTCTCTGAGCTGCTCTCAGATGTTTTTTTGTCACATCACATTGTTGTTTTTATCATTTTATGTGTCATAAACGTTGTTTTTGGTCTTACTCAGTTCAATAGCTCAAATTTTGCCTTTTCACTTGGCGTTTCAAGTGTACGGAGAAAAAAAATCAACTGAGAAAATTGATTTCAGAGCACAGACTTGCTGTAGTTGTCTTGTAAACGTGGTAGCTAGCTAAAAACACAAGTGAAATATCTAACAAGAGACTAAATCAGAGTTGTACAGAAATGGAAAGCACATTATTTGTACGGTTTTTGGGTTGTTGTTGTTTTTTTTTCTTTTTTCCTGTTTTGTTTTGGGTTGTTTAGGGTTTTTTTTCATCAGAAGCCTATGGCATTGAGGCCTTCATACTCCACTGAGGAGAACTTACCTGAGGAAAGACAGACTTTTATACCCAAAGGGTAGGCGACAGAATATAAACTTCCGCTCTCTGAACATAGATGCTCTTCAAGTCCCTCCCATCTCCTCACTCACCATTAACCTCGGTTTGCTGGAGTGGAACCACGCAGACCAGACGGGAGCGGAAGTGGTTCATATGGGCTGAGGAGCAGAGCCATCAGCGTTGGTACCTGTACAGAATCAACCATTCCTACCAGAGGGTAAAAGACTCAGCCCTTTGGACTGATATTATTTTATACAGAAATAGAACTATAAATATATATATATATATAATTATGATTGATTATATATATGTACAATTACACATAGATATATACACAGCTTCAAAAGTATATTGTTAAAAAGGATAAATTCTGCTGATCTACCTAGAGACACCGCAGAGAGCCTGCTGTCCTAGCGTGTGTATTAATGGAAACACCCGTTGTATCTACTGTACTACCATAGTAACTTTGACAGCCGGTTGTTCGCCCGAATGAGGAAAAACAGCACAAAACCCCCCAACGCACACCCCGACCCCATCGAATGGACGACTCCTCACTCGCCACGGGCATCGCAACGCTCAAGCACACAGCTTCTCCCACACAAACTGCAGGAGGGGAGCTTCAGATCCACAAAGATCCTAAGTGTGGTGGTGGTGGGAGGAATGGGAGGGAGTGGGGTGGGGGGACTTGAAAACGCTGGCAAAAAAAACAAATGTTCATTTTTACCTTGTGAATGCTTAGTGCTGTAGGGGTTCGATCTGTTGTACACAGTCTGTTTTCTATTTGTTGATAAAGAACTGGAATTTCAAAAGAAACTGTTGATGATAAAAAAAAAAACCATTGATGTTAATAAAGTTACATAATTGGGTTTTTGTACAAAGACTGGCCTGTGATCCTTTGTTTCTTACTAAAAGTGAAAAGTTTACATCTTACAAGATGCTCTTTACCTCGCGCTCAAAGAGACACCTGTGACCGTGCCTGCTTATCGCCCACTGAGCATGTGGTCGCTCACAACTGTTTTGTGATGCATGGCTGCTATAGTTGCAGTTAATTGAGTTTCCTTTGTGTTGAGGTATTTCTAAAAGTGTGTTTGTGGAGTGGTGGGGAGAGTCTCTGACTTGTGAAAGATGCCAGCCCCTTAGTACTTTTTAGATTTTAATCTCCCCCCACCCCTTTGGAAAGAAAAGTTTTCTTAATTTCTTAATCAGCTTCTGATTAGACCTTTGTACACCGTCTAAGGCAAAATAAGCACAACTCAAGGCTTCCACAAGTGTTTAAATATGTGGTTCATTTCACATTAGAGAACGCTTGATTTGTTTTTCTTTGGTTTGAAGCGGAGGAGGGTGCTGGATTGAAGTGGGCGGGGCTGTGACATCCTTGCTTCTGTTGCTGTAGAGTGAACTCCACCCGTATAAAAGCACATGAGCTCAAATTCAGACTTTTCATTTATACGTATAATGTCTCATCTTCCTCCTGTAAAATGTATTTTTTTTATGTATGTATATTTGGCTTTACATTTCAATGTGCCACATTTCACTGACTTTAACAGCTGCAGTGAGGTGCGAATGACAAAGTGATCATTATTAAGTGTCCAAAGCCCATTTTAGTGATGACTAGTGAATAAATGTTATATAAGAGTAGTCATTCAGTGTTTAGCAAATTTTCACATTAACTGTGTATTGTTCGTCTGATTTGTAGCATAAACTGTTTATAAAAGTAGGACATGACCAGTAACTCCCTGAGAAGCCTCAACTCTAGCGTTTTAGCCATGACCACTAGTAACCCTGTTTAGCACCTTGGTTCACTCACAGACTGAAGCTGGTTATTAGTGCCAAATAATGGAAAATACTAGTACTTTACTCATAGAAACTTGAGAAACTTCTTGGACGTGCTGTTAATAAAATGAACTACATAGCACAGGCCATGTTGTTTTAATTCCATGAAAACGGACCAACGCCTCAAACACATTTCACTGTCAAATTAGCAGAGGAGAGGGCTAGCACACAGCCACAGTCTCTGTTGGCATAAATAGAAAAACTTTCAATCTTTAAAAAAGTGTAAACGTGAGTTTTTAAGGAGAAGACACACTGTTAGGTTTTTGACACTGTCCCCTTACAGCAACAAGGTCCTGGGTTTGAATCCAGCCCAGAG